TTCTTTGTGCAAATTGGCTGCTGCATTCACCTATAAAACACACAGATGCCACACTTCACAGTAAAGTCCTGTGAAGTGCATTGAGATGCCTTGACGGTGTGATTTTACGCTGTGTCAAATGCAAAGGCCATTATAATAATAAACTCCAAAGTTCCTTTTCTGTGCCAAAAAATTCCCCAACTGTCGCTCGTCTCCGCGCACACTCAGTGCTGTTTTCAAACCTTCAAACGAAAATGCTACCGAACAGCGGCTCATAAAAGCTTCCGTAACAGCCCACCCCAGGGCATGTGCCCACCGTGTCCAGCAGTTCAAGATAAATAAGTCACTGGAGAACACTGGACTGTATGTAAACAATGGCGATGGTTCTATCTTTAGTTTGTACTCCAGGGGAGAGCGCGAACGCAGTCCCCCACTACCACAAATTTTGCAGTCGAGTATCCCGCATTTGGGGACATCGCAGGCGTCAGCACACCCGAAGTGCAATGGGTTAGCCTCGTCCTGGGAGAACCACCTTCATGATCATGGTGTCTCCCCTGCCAGGTAAGTATGCTTAACTGGGGCTCATCCACGCCGGCTCACTCCCCGCTCCACCCCTCACGGCTACACTGCCTCCTTCTCCGCTATCCTCTGGGATGCTCCCCTTATAAAGGCTGCGGTATAAATGTAAGCTGTCGGTGTTGTTATCCTCCTTCCCACACCCCCTCCCATTTGTTAAGTTCGCTACAAACACCTTAAGCACAACAGTCTGATCAGCTGATTTCACACAATTAGCGCAATTTCCCAATGAAAAAGAAATCCAAAGTGGTCGACTGATTTAAATGTTATCCATAAAAGGAGTTTAACGTCATCAGGTTTTCAACGTATCCGGTGCAGCAGGTTAACCCCTTCTGCTCGGACTTGAAGCATCTCTGATTTCTGCCCACTGCTTGCAATAGGAACGCTGAAAAGCTTTCTTTTTAGTATTGCTTTTCCTATTGTACTTGACATCTGAAAGCGCTTCACAGAATATACTGTAAAGTGAGTTGACTGTACATTTTGAGGGCAAATGTAGTGACTTTCTTGCTGGGAGGACGTCTCAGGGATTCAATGTAAAGTGTTGTAACAAAAAGTGAAGTTTTGTAAACCAAACGTTAAATTAGGATTTTTCCATTTGATTTCTATTAATAGTTGTACACTGGCTTCTTGACATAGGATTAAGATTTAGGCAATTTTTGTTAAAGCCCTGAGAATTATAGTAACTTGATTGCCTCTATTTTTACAATAATTACATTGCAGAATTTCACCTTCTTCTGATCTACTGCTATAATTCCCAAATCCAGCAAGATTTGGAAGATAACAAATACAATTATTATAATCTTGAATTTCTACACTTCTACTGTGGTAGAAACTAGCTGTGCTGGAGATTTCTTTGTCCAGTTCCATTGGTGTTCCCATTTCACTTCTTCTGCTTAGATTCAGGCCTTTAAATTCTAGCCCCTCACTAACCTCTTATCTTCCCAGTGCCGCTAGACTCAAATCCTCATTTTCCGTTGTTCTCAGATTGCACAGTATCTACAATTCATTAGTCAGGCCAGAAAGTTCCGAAGTTTGATCGCTGAGCTGTGATGAATTAGTTGATCTCAGCCTGGGTGATGATGGACATTGCAATTACCTTCAACATTCCTGGGTTAAGTAAAGGGGGGAGGGAACACAATTAATATACTGAAATATATGCCATCCGGCTTTATTTTTCCGTGAGTTTATCTGAACAGATGTGCTAATAACTTTTTCTTACAATGTACCTGTAATCCGATAATTTCTGCCTCCAGCCACGACAAGCAAGAACAGAGTACAAATGTACAATTTGACTGTAAATCAGTGACGCTCGTAACTGGCCGGGAGCTATCCCAACTCTTCACTTGTATATTTGCATTCGATTTGTTGATCCATTTATAGCTGTCTGCTCCTCTTGAGATCAGTTGCTGACTGACTTGGGCTTCAGTCGTTTTTCCTCTCCAATGAGTGCTGTGGGGAGAAGAAAAAGAAGGGTTACCTTAGCCTCCTCAAAGTTAATGGTGTCTGGTACCTATATACCTGAAATCAGAAAATAATACCATCACAAATAAGTCTCAGGTTCCATGTACTTTATTGTGTTACAGAAATTCTTGAAACACAGCTAAAAAATAATTTCAAAGAATACATTACAAATAATAATAAAAAAAACTACACAGTTACAACTTGTTTGGAGTATACTATAATAATTAATACTGCCTGAAAAAGCATTAGTTAACATTGAAATGATGATTTTTTTCTTTTTAAAATCTTAAAGCAATAAAGTGCCTTAAACTGCTACTATTGGAGGCATATGTTCACACTTCAGCAAAGAGTGCCTGTGGTGTGATTTACGGGTATGTGAACCAGCTCACAGCTGAGAAAGAGCTCCTGGAATTGTGTGGTTGAAAAAAACTACTCAAACCAACACGTGCTCTGAAACAGTTTTAGAAACCTACAGAATGAACATGCTTCCTCCCCATACAATTTCCCCCGTTTCTCTATTGAAGTGCACAGCAGTCCTCTACCTGCAGTGCAAACAACAGCTAAACAGCTGCAGGTTACCAGGAAAGGGTTTATAGGTACCTGGTAATGGGAAGAAAATAATGTTGGCGTTCTGGAAGGAAGAGATCGCACGAGCCTCCTTTAAATAAACCTTGCAACCCATATCTGTGGTTCGGCACAAAAAATACAGGAATGCACTCCACCAGCAGGGTCACTTTGGTGAGAAATGCTTCCCGTTTTAAAAAGAAAGAAATACTTAACATTCCAGTCCTTTCATGAAGTTCAACATGCTTTAAACTGACACAACCGAGGAACAGGCCAGTAATACTGCAGAAGACAGCTGTCATCTCTTTCAGAAACAAACTCTTTTTTTAAAAAAAANCTCTTCCAGGAGCTCAGTCTTTTCTACAACACGACAAAGCAATAACTGCCGATTATAGTTGCAATGCTATCGCCCTAACATCATAAGCTCAGTTCCTAGCTGCGTGCCTCGCAACCGTTGACAGATTGTGTTTCGTCACACATAAAACAAAGGAGCGGGAATCGCCTTGCCCTGCAAGGTGCTTTACACCACATTAGAGAAAAAAATATGTACACGTTTTTTTAAAAAAAAGGAACTGTACGTTTCGATGGAGCTCTGATAAAGTGAAGAGGTTCTCATGAGAGCGAGCCATCACACGATTTCAAAAGTTTTTCTTTTTTAAAAAAAAACTGGCATGCATAAAAATACCTGAAATGAGTGGACCAGGAATGAGGGAGGGGGAGAAAGAAGAGGCAGGGGTAGAGGTTACAAATCAATAATAATAATAATCCTATGATATGAACACACTCCATGTGAAAGGCGCTACATATAAATGCAATTTGTTGTTGTTCAGTAATAACAGACAAACCCACCGTTTCTTAGGGCCCCAACTCCCCTTCAACAGATTGTTAGTAAACCCAACTTTAAATGCACTGCTGCAAACCTCTGACTTGACCCACTTGATAGTTTGCTGAACATTATGCCAAACAAGTGCAGTAGGGAGTTTGCCTTGGATTAGTTTCGAACAGTAACTGCTTCATCCTTTGAACCCAATTGATTTCAGAACCTTTTTGACCATGGTGAGGCTATACAGTTATTTCTAAAATGTAAACCTGACTTAAAAGTCCAGTTTATAAAATTAAAAAGGGACTCCTTAGGCTAAAAAAAAACCCCAAAACAATAATAAATTGGTCATTTTCATTCTACGACTGTTTGTGGGACATTGCTGTGCGCAATTGGCTGCCACGTTCGCCCACAAATATACAGTCAATTCACTTTACAGTGTGTTCTGTGAAGCGCTTTGGGATGTCCTCCTGACATGAAAAGCGCTATATCAAATGCAAGGATTATTATTATTATAAAGTCAACAGAGCCTTTCGGTTTTCTGCTGCCTTTCAAGAAATCAGAATCTATACTTTTTTTATATAGGTTTTATATTACGTTAAGCTTTATATTATCAAGACATTTTTTCTCTACTTTTTACAGTTATGTGGTCAGCGAGGTGACGGATGTCAGTGCTGGGTAACGGAAGAGCTTTTCCAATTTCAGGATCAAAATTCCACATCAGCTTAAGCACTGTGAGATGCAGAGTAAAGCTCCCTCTATTCTGCCTCAGACCCAAATTCAGCACCCTCTATTGCATCAATTATAACAGTTCCATTTCCCACAACAGGCATCCTCGCTCTCAGTTTCACAGATTGCCAATTAACTGCCAATTTATTCCAAATGAAAGCAGCTTTGCCTCATAGGAAATGGGTTGATATCGACTTCAAATTGTTTTGCCGGGCCCCCTAAGAAAGCAAAAGGAAATTCAATCCATCAGTACAGTACGGACGGAATTCACATGAGGTTCCATAGGAGAGAGCATACTGTAGCCTCCAAAACTGCCTTGCTCCCCAAACAGATACTAACATTTTCTTTTTCACCAACTGTACAATGCAAGCTTTCCCCACCCTCCCTAATAGCCATAAATTGATTGTTCACGCACATAAATCCTGGATCAACCCAGATTAAAGAAAACCATACCTGTGCGGTAACTGAAACGTTCAAACGTTCAAAATATTCCAACACACAATATTCACACAATCAAAGTTACATTTTCTGAACATTAAAAGAAACAAAAAAAGCAATTGTCCATCATGGTACAAACCTAGAAATATATAAATAAAACTGCTGAATACAGCAACCCCCTCTTTTTGCTAGGGCAAACGGGTATATTGGACATTTAGAAATACATATGGCAGTCCAACAGAAGAGGGAGTGAGTGAGAGAGAAGGGGATCGATATTAGAAAAACAAGAGACTCGCAAATGCTGTGCTTGTCCTAAAAAGACCAATATAACCCATATTCACAGAATGATGGGTGGAATGGAGCATGCCTGTGTGTGTGTCTGTAATTGTGTATGCTCGCGCGCGGGTATGTATTTGTGTGTGCGCGCGTGCGGGTATTTGTGTGTGTGCACATGTAGGAGGGGGGGAGGAAGAGAACCTTTGGAGATGTGCCAGGAAGGAGTCTGTCTCCAGAATAGAAATGATCGAGAAGTAATGCGCAATAAAAAAAAACACGGACGTTGCACTGATTCACTGCAAGCCCAGTACTGAGGTGGTGATCACTCACCCCCTACTTTGTTTGTAACTGACCCTTTTTTTCTGCAAAACTATTCAACGTGCCTGGGTGTGAGCTCTTCAGGAACAACATTTATAGCAGTAAAGCAGGCCTGGTCTGGTACAGCACACGCTCTGGTTACGGAGCTTATTTTACAACAGTCAGTGCTTCCTCTAGCTGTAAAGGAGTTGTGGCGTTTTATCTTCCCTCATCTCTCTTTAATTGAGCTCGTTCTCCGTAAACTCCTCCTTGATCGGCTGCTTCCTTGTCTTGCAATCGGGGACGTCAAAGCCGAAGTCTCCCCAGTCGTCCCCTCGGTTGGGGATGGTGATGGTGTGACGCACCCTGAAGTGAACGGCTTCCATGACTCGCTGCCGTTGCAGCTCCCCGCCTACGCTGGGGTTGTTGTTGCTGGATCGGAGGAGCTGCGGCGAGTTGTAATCGTGCCCCGGTTTGAATTCCTGAAGCCCCCTCCAAATGAGGAGGCGGTATTGTTCTGGAATCTTCAATGCGCCAAGATCCTAGTCCAAAATAGGAAAAATACAACACATTAACTATCAAGTACCCCACTGCAGCTGATATTATCTCGCTCTCTCTGGGATCTATAGTCATTTTCAACTCACACAGAGGGGATCTTTTTGGAGTTGAAATGCCACATCTTCACAACGACATTGGGTGCTGATGGGAGGATTTCTCGTGACAGGAGATTTTACAGTTCCACACATACAGAAAGTATTACTTTGTAAAGTGTAACAAGCAAGGAGTGAGCGGCTGGCATTAGTGCCAAGCTCTCTATCTATTAACCTCACCGATTTCGGTTTTAAGTAAAGTACACAGTTACCTCCATAGAAAGATTCTGCAGGTGATACATGGTCTGCAACCCCTGTGATGTGAAATACTCCAGACAGTTAGGGCAACCCAATCCTGTCAAAAAACTATGAACATTTTTCAATAAATAAGGACGTCACATAGAGGAAAACGTAATTCAGCAGAAAACAGTTTCCTGACGAGACGCAAACCCCTCAATTAATGAAGGGTGTGTAGCGTGAGAGAGGAGAAAGCTCACCTGACAAGAGCTGGGTCTGCATTGTAAGGTGGGGGTGGCGTGCAGTGGGAGGTTGGTCCCATGGCTGTCGACTGAGAAGGATTTCCACCGTTCATGTTCCCATTTGGTGGCATGTAATGATGATGGTGGTGGTGGTTGTTCATTAGAGTCGGGCCTGTAAAATGTGAACCGTTTGTTTATTTCTATTTTTCCCCAATTCCTCTAATTACCAATAGCATTGTGTGGTGGTGTTGTGTTGTCTGGAACACTCTCCCTCAGTCCCTCCGCCTTGCCCCCTCTCACCCTTCTTTCAAGTCCTGTCTGAAGACTTTCTTCTTCGATCGTGCTTATAGCCACCACCTCCCTGGCTCGAATGAGGCTCCGCCACTGTTTAAACGCTCTGAGACACTACCCTGCATGGAGGGTGCTACATAAGGGCAAGTTGTTGTTGTTGTTGTTGACGTGACAATGCTTGGGCACAGCAGCATATAGTAACATCTTAGTGGTGCTGGGAGCAACATAAAGATAATACAGGAAACACTGCAATTGAGGCTGGTGATCTGAGATTGGGCTTGAGGTACATTGTCTGGGCAATGGATGGGTGCAAAGCTCTAGAACTTAAGAGGCGATTTATATTACTTCATTACAATAACCTTTGGCTGGGTGAGCATATATGTGCACCCACAGTAACACCATGTTCAGGCTGACTTACCCATGGGTCCGAGATTGACTGAAGTGCTTGGGCTGTGCTGAGAAGGTTGCCCCACCAGCTGATTGACGGAGGGCAGTTTGTTCACATTGGGAATCTTGTTCATAGGCGGGTTTACTGCACCGTAGGCCGATGAAGCCTGCTGCCTGTTTAAAATAAAAATTAATTTTGATCAATTTTCAATATTTCAGAAGAAAGTTGGTTCATTTTAACTGGGGTAAGCGAGTGACTAGTCTGGAAGAGAAATGACTGTCGTCTTGCTCAGGAGGCTTCAATCTTTGACTCATTACGGATTGGAATGTTGGGAGTGATCCTACAGGTAATTATAATGAGCCTTTCACAATCCTGTGGCATTGAGTTATGGGTGAGGGGGAAAAAAAAATGACAGTCTGTCTGAAAAGTGCAGCTCTTAACACCTGAACAGCTCAAGTACGCAGGAGCTGTGTCATATGTAAAAAAAACTGACTGTAAGAGGAATACCCAATGGCTAAGTGAGCTTACTGACAGTATCGTCAACGGTTGTTTGAGTGAGGAGACAGGAGAGTGATGGGCACCTCTGGATTAGTATCTCAAGTCCAAGGCAAAATAATTCACACACCTTTAGGGAGAGAGGGGATGGGGAGCTGATCGCCGAAAACAAAACAAAATAATAGAAAGTGTAAACCGGGGCTACTGACTGGCGCTGCAGGAGCTGCTGCTGCTGCTGTTGACGGTACGAGTCGATGAGCTGTTGAGGTACCAGTTCCATCAGCTCCAAGCTCTCCTTAATCTTCATCAGGATCTCAAAGTTCTCACGGCCTCGGACCTGGGGAAAGACATTAAGAACACTGAGCACACCTTCATGACAGAATTTATTCAAAAGATGTTATGAATAGAAACTAGGGTCTTAACGCTAATCTTAGTCTAGTTCCTAGTGGGCATGGGTTGACAAGACAAAGTAGTCTTAGCATGGTAATAACTAATAATAATCCTTGGATTTGATATAGCGCCTTATCACTTCTTCAAAACGTCTCAAAGAGCTTCACAGAATACAACATAAAGTGAATTGACTGTGTTTGGTGAATCGCAAAATAACTGGTGCTAAATTGTCACTCAGGCAACCCGTGAAGATGCCTAGTGTTGGGGGGAAATAGAAAACGTTATTCTGCTGCAGTTTGAAGCACACATTAGAGAGCTTCGCTTTGTTCTGTAAATCCCTCAAGAATGTTCTAGCCTTAAAATTGAGGGAAAAGTAAAAAAAAGTTAAAAGAATTTCTCAGCAGTGACAGCATGATGAGCACAAAACAAAAACGAAAATGTGCATGAAAGGAGACAGGGCACTGAGGGCTTAGCTGGTTAAGGCTTATAATACTCACAGGAACGTAGAAAAATTCTTCATCACCGTGCCTCCGCTTTTTTATGCCTGCTGTAGGCCCCTGAGCTCCCGGGGGTGTCTGCTTGAAAGCTGAAACAACAGATGGGATAGGTGCAATTACTAGCCACAGCATTAACTTGAACTTGTACCACTTACCTAAATGACTATTTCAAAGTAGTTCACAAAAGAAGCAGTAATATAATAATAATCCTTGCATTTGATGTAGAGCCTTATCAGGTCTTCGAGGCATCTCAAAGCGCTTCACAGAATATGAAGTGAATTAACTATATATTTTGTGGGTGAAACGCAGTGGCCAATTGCGCACAACAGTGTCCCACAACCAGTCGTGGATTGAGTGACCAAATTATTATCATTATTTTTTTTTAGACAAGAAGTAGGTAAGAAGCAAAAATGGGATAAAATTAAAGGTGGCCAACAACACAGTTAAAGAGAATAGTTGATAGGAAACTGAAAAGCAGATAGCAAGGCAAAGTCAGGGAATCAGCGCACTTACGCCGTTTGCTACCATTTGCGTTTTTAGCGGCGTTCTCGTTGATGGCTTGCTGCTCGCGGTAGTGATCCTCGTCTGCTTTCCGGTCTCGTCCGGGGCAGGCACAGATACGACCCTCAAACGATCGTCGCCCGAGAACCTGGCCACTGAAGAAGATTTGATTTTAAATTCTTTCAGAGGGAACAGTAGCTGCTGAAACAGCTGAAATAATATATATTTTGTGCAGAATTGGAGTACTAGCGATTATAGTGGGTAGTACAGTTAGGTACAACAAAACAACAACTTGCATTTATATAGCGGCCACCACACGGGGTAGCATCCTGGAGATACAGTGGTAATACAGGTCAGGTACTCACAATGTACAATGGGGAGTACAGATTAATACAGTTGTTAGCACATACACTGTGTAGTTACTTGGAGTATCATGTTTGCTATTGAACAGCAGCAAGGTATTAATTTCTAACCATGGATGTTTTGGTCAATATTACTCACTCTCTCGTCTCCAGAGTGATGATGATAAGGATGGGCCTGCGGTTCATTCCTCCCACACAACTGCTATTACACATGAAGTTGTAGAGAATTGTAGTGAACTCTGTTCCGACCTGTTCAAACAACAATTAAATTTTAAATTAAACAGTTTTAACAGTAATAACTACAATGACAATTGTAAACCGCATTGGTTTAATGGACAAAATAACAAGACTTCCTTTTGCAGTGCGAGAGGTAATTATTTTTGTAGTTACACAATATAGTTGAATGGAATAATTAGCACTGGTGTTAACTATCACATCAGCATATACAACAACAATTTGCACTTATATCGCGCCCTCCATGTAGGGTAGTGTCTCAGAGCGCTTAGAAGGCAGTCAATGATGGTGACGAATTATTTAACACCGCCTCACTCAGTCATTACACTATTGGCCCATGGATCACGCTATTAGTCTGCCAGTTGGTGGTTGGTATACCATCTTTAACTTAATTTATAAGCCAATTTCCTATGTGATTGTGTCCCTTTTATTTGCATATGATTTTATTTGCTCAGCGCTTTGGGACGTCCTCCCGACGTGAAAGACGCTCTATAAGTGTAATTTTGTTGTTGTTGATATGAGGAGCAGGCCTGATGTACTCCAGTATCAAAAGATTAACAGGATCCGGATGAATACCAGTTTGTTTGAAAACAAGACAATTGGATTTGACATTGTTTCATACCTGTGGCGGTTCATAAGGCACCATGACACTTTGGCGTCCAGTTACGGGATCATCAACGTACTGAGCAAGGTTATTTCCCTCCACTCTGATCAGGTGACTTGCTGGTGCGGACTGGCCTGAATGAATGACATGAGAAGAAATGTGAGCAGGACGGACCTGAATCATGATACTCAGTAAGTAGTTAGCCAAGGAAAGATACACAGACCATGTGGATCATTCAATACTTGTACCTCAGACCATTTGACTCTTTGACTGTCATAGAATCTAAATAAAAACATATAGGATAATGGGATTCTCAGTGAATTCCAAAGGGGAAAGACAAAAAGGCATATCATCGCATCGGCTCTACTCCAGCTGCAATGTAAGTAAATTTACTTGGCCCAAAGTGAATTGAAAGCATGGATTGCCTAGGTAGTTTCACTACCGGACGAAATTCAGATCTGGAGATCAGCAAATGAACCACACATTGCAGGTTCTGCATCAATGCAACGCACCAAAGCCCCTGTTCAAATACTACCATTTAGAGTTTGGCAGGCACTAACCACCCTTCAACGTGTTACCCATTAATCAAGTCTGAACCTTGACAATGTGCTATGTCAAGCATGTCTTGAAATTAATCTGTAGTTACTGGAGTTAGGTTTTCTGTCTCCAATGGAGGAAATGCTTGTAGGAACATGTTCATCTTCACCGTTACATGAGCCCATTTCAGTGATGTTTAATCTTAAATTGGTTTGTCAAACTGACAACATTCAGATGTGTTTTTTTGTCCACCACTCACTTCACACAGCTCAGCATTTTCCCGCGAAACTGTTAAAAGATTTCAGTGTCTCGTTCTAATTTCAATACCTTCCACACCTGTTAGGTCCCAATTTCAGTGCATCTGTCCAAACAAGATTCAGCACCAAGTGCTGCTAATTAAGACAATAAACTGAACCCGAGGAGGGAGGGAGGAAGATTAGTCAGGCTTCCTGAACTTGAATCATGGTTTGAACCCATGCTGTAAAGGTTATGTGTATCTAGATGTATAGTGAGGATAGGATTAGGCATGTCTGATAACTCTCATAGACAGTCAGCAGCCCCTCATAGTTTACATACACAATTAAGAACAAAGTAAGCCATTTCAGTAAAATACTAAACCCCGTGATGAAACAGGAACTTTGGGAATGCAGTAGAAAACTGTTATAGGTCCTAAGTCTATCCCTTCTGTTAACCACTGGCTAGATTATACTTGAGAACATTTCACTCACCATCATTGAAGTCCCTCCCAAGCTCATGGTTCGGGCACCGTTTTACAACTTCAGTCACATGTTCAGCCTTTTTGTAGACGGGCATAGCACGTACAACACTGCCCGAAGGTGGTAGTGAGGTAACTTTGGCCTGGATCGGGCAAGTCTTTGCAATCTGACAGTAAAGTTTCTTCAGCAGTGGAGAATACTGCAAAAATAGAAGAGTGAAAAAAAAATCCTCAGCGTTTATCAAAATGTGCATGAATTGCTCCCTCTCTCCTTGTAGGAATCGTCTACAAAGCAACACAAAACAACATGGACTTATACAGCACCTTTCACGTCGGGAGGATCTCCCAAAGCGCTTGACAATTCTGGTTGGTCACCGGAAACGTGGGTGGGAGCTGAGAGGGTGAGGAGGGAAGGCGAAAGCATGGTGAAAGAGGCACGTTTTGAGGCGCAGGTTGAAAGAGGGGAGAGACTAGGGCATGGAATTTCAGAGAGCGGGCGCCAAGTAGCTGAAGGCTCACCCACTGATGGTGGGGCGGATAAAGCAGGGGATAGGGATGGAGCAGGCCAGTGTTGGCTGAGCAAAGGGCACCGCTGGATTGGTAAGGATTAAGGAGGTTGCAGAGGTAAGGTGGGGCAATACAATATCTTCGAGCATATTACAGGAGTAATGGGAAAAAATTGGAGGGGAAAAATACAAACATAATTACAAACTAATAGTGAAGGTATTTATTTGAGTAATTGAGGTGAAGGTAGAAAATTAGATAGATCAAGAAGTAGTGATTAGATGTTTTCAAGCTTGGTGTTTAAGCGCTCCGAGACACTACCCCGAGTAAAGAACACTATATAAATACAAGATGTTGGTGTTTAAATGTCTCGTTCATACAAAATCCTGCTTTATTCTGTGGGCAAATAAATTGCTGGATTAAAAATGAAAGATAGAAATTAATTTCACATGCCAGAACTATTTCAAAACAGTTTTACTGAGACAATGAATTAAGACCAACAAGTTTTGTCATGTCAAAGGGTGGACCAAGTGGTTTCATTTTGTCCAGAATTTTAGATACAGGTATTTGAAATCTAAACAGCATAGTCGACTTTGAAATCAACCCCCCTTATTTTATGTTCACCGATGGGTGGATCAGTCAGGTAACGTGGAGATCTTTTTACCACTAACGTGCTTCGGCATGTTGCTTTGAAGAAAGTCCCAAAATTCCACCTGGAGACAAGCTTTCCTGACTCTTCTTTTGTATTTGCATACATGTGAAGACTAATGGACAGGAGTATTTAAGGGCTGTCAATTATATCTTGCCCTTTTAGAGACCTGTATAGACTCTGTGCAGAATATCTTTGATACAAAAATAATTGCAATTTTTAGAATAAGATTTGGGATTATGAAACGCAACAGCACTTGCATTTATATAGTTGCAAGTGGAAAAACCTCACTCGCTGAGAATGGGAAATATGACCAATTGCTATAGTTGTTCAGGAATTTCACTTCTTTTTGTATTCCCTTCACATTCAGTACTAATGTGACACCCAAATCCTAAACTAATTCTGGATTCTTTGCAAGCTAGCATCAGTTTATATAATTGTATTAGTTTTATGTTCTGGCCAACAATCCCCCAGATAAAATCGATCATTCACTTCATAGCCGTTTTGGGTCACTGCTGTATTCAAATTGGCTGCTGTGTTCACAGGAAATCCTATATTGCTTTATTATTTGGCAAATAGCCTAATGTTTATATTAGAACCTGAAAATAGTCTAGTCTATCTTTTTCTTTGAATCGTGCATGCACAAGTAAAAGCTGACTGCCTTGAGTCTGGTATTTAACAACTTCTGGTACCCTCTGTCAGCTCCTGTATGTATGAACTGCATATGTTAGTTCTTGTTTTCAACCAACGTAAGTATGTGCCCATGCTTTTTTCTAACCGAATAAAGAGTCTAGAACTGCAGCGATCACCTGGTGTATAAAAAGGAGCAACTTGAACTAGGGTGGAATCTTGTTGCCTTCTCACAATTATTGTCATCTTTCAAGTAGGCAACTTGTGGGCTACTGCTTTTGACTGCTGTCGGCTTCGACTTAAAAACTTCTCAACAAACTGGCAGGGAGGTCAGCTATTGGTACTGGTCGTTGCAGATGTGCTTCTGGATTATAGAAACATTAAAAAAAATTAATACGCGCAACACCTGGATATCCTTGAGGCTCCAAGCACTGAAAGACAGACCTCCCAGACTAGCCTTTTCATGGCACTTCTTGTTCCTTGAAAGGATTTCAGCATAATTTTCCTCTGATCTAGCTTCGGGAAACATTGCTTCTCATTTTGGAAAAGTTAAGACTTGCTCTGATTACTGAAAGTGAAATAACTGTATTGTGCCAGGTCCTAACATGCACACACTCAGAGTAAGATGAGGCATGCTTGTCTCATGTGGAACATGTACTGACTGACGCCTCACAGACGTCTACATTCCACAAGCAGAATCTTTCATATATTAACGTTGAACTTCAGGAAGGGACTTTGAACAGGATTCTGTGCTTCGGATGTGAAGAGAAGTTTGAGATTCAAATTAGAATCAAAATCCAGATGCTTAGTCCGAATATAAGGTTTACATTTGTCTATATGTGTCTGTCTATCTAACATTAATTCGTAAACCTAGCGATCAATTATCCATCGGTAATCCATATTTATCCTGAGGCTAGTCAGACAGGTAGGACTTTGAGTGTGTAGTTCAGGTTGCCACTCCAATTTCAGTCTGGGGGGAGTGCTGAATTGTTGTAAATGCCACATTCAGGTGGATTTTAGAAATCCCATGACACAATTTGAAAAAGAAGAATGTAATTTCTTGCAGTATCTTGGCCAATAAATCCACAGCTAAAAAAAATAATAATACTCATTCACATTTATCTTACCCACCGCCTTGGTACATCCTCCCAACGTAAAAGGCGCTCTATAAATATAATTTTGTTGTTGTTTCTATCTATTAATAAGAGTATGCAACTTAATAAGAGAATGTAAAATAAAGGTGGATAGGAATTGATAAAGCTGTTCATTAATTATGTTTATCGTGATATTTACCACGGGCTTCATTCTCCAGATGTCTGAATCTTGAAATTGCCTTTTTTTGCCCATGTTATTGAGAGGAGTTTTAGGCTGCCTCATTTTTCATTGGTTTCCAACACCTGGTTTGATCCCCCCAATGTTAGGTCGAGATTAACTGAAAGCCAAGTGTCAGCATCATCTCAAACTTGGCTTTCAATGGACTTTCATACCGTCTCATTGTAAACTGAACAAATCTCAACTTGTCTTTTCAACCTTCAGTGTGTGGGGGGGGGGGAGGGTGGAGATGTCGGTGGCATTACACATAGCTTCCAGGCTTGTATTTTGCTGGAGATCCACGCTGTGACATGGATGAACTCTCGATTAAAAAGCAAAGCAATTCCCCTGTGGAGGCACATTTTATATTATATAATTACGTGTCAGGACAATACAGAACTCTCTTAAATCCAGACAGAGTATTTAATAGCATAAACTAGATTGTGGATAATGTCACAGTACATTTACTGAATTTCTTTTTTCTATATGGTTACTCAATTTGCCAAATACCCTGCAGGGTTTATGTTCGGTTAAATGCTTTGAGTTTTGTTTGTCTGCTTACAAACAAGAAAATAGATGGTAGTTAAACATGAGGCACAAAGGGATCACCAGTTAGCATATTGGTCTGGTATATTGCCAAATGAGAGGGAACGATTCTCTGACTGCTTTGAAATTTACCGACCTGTGAATTTATCCTATCACAGAGCTCCTGGAGTTTACTGACCAACAGAGAATAAAATGCACTAACTACCTCTTCCTTCACAAACCTATAGACAATCAGAAAGTGACTGCTAAATTGTTCGTTCAACATCACCTTAAAATAATGGGGGGGGGGGGTCAGTAAAATACATGTGCCCATTTATGTTGCTGGTGCTCTTGCTGCCGTCCTAGTGCATAGCACAAAATAATACTGAAAATTATTTGTAGGAAAATAGTTCATTTCCTATAATGCAAACAGTTCTGTTTGAACACACATCTGGCAAGAGAGCTAAGCTACGGGCAGCTGTCAGACCTGAGAAGTTCAGGCTTGTTCAAATTGGGAATTATTTTCATCAATGTCTTTGTTTGGGAGAAGGAGGGGGCGAAGGTAAAGAAAGAGTATCTGACCAATGAATAACTTGCATCTCCCATCTGCTGCATTCCTGACTGTACTAAGCAGAGTGCACAAGACTTGCCTTCAACAGACACCCAACGGTTCCTAATAAACCGCTAGATCTATTGGGCAGGAGGAGACAGCAGCCGCAGGCAGGTCTGTACCAAGCAGCTGCCGATTTGCATCCCTGGGACAGGTTAGGACAAGCTTCCGGAGTGAGAGTGGTAATGATGTGTATCACTAGTCACTCAGCATGTAGCGTCTTGCAAACCACAAATACCGTTAACTGCCTTCTCACTCACTACTTCAATCTTCAAAGACAAACTTGTAGGTGAACATAAAAGAAAGCGTTTTTAACCCTTCCAGATCTTTTTATCCTAGGTAACATTTGGGGTACTTTTAGCGGGAAAATCACTATTTCTTTGCAAAGCTGATCAGGGATGAATGCACAATTGCTCCTCACAATCACAGTCCCTGATATCCTGTAGGACACTTACATGTTTACGAATAATAAATATCAAACACGAACGCATTACTGAAAAGCTGAAAAGAATGCACTCTTGTCCACACTACCAGTTTTGTGATATTGTGTGCCTTCAGGAACTCAAACTGTTTTTCCTTCTTCTCTTAAACTGACCCGACTACAAATTGACTTTTGCTGTTCCAAAGGATTCTACAAATACTGTGATAGTTCACTAATACCACACTGAACTTTGCAAGACAGACACCTCTAATTTCAAGGCAGATTCTCAGAAACAAATTAAATTATATTATTTTTCTGCTTGGCTTTGCGGTCGGTCTCTTTGTAACAAAGCTGTTTCAACAGGGCTCTTTCGCCCTCAAATATACAGTCAATTCACTTTACAGTATATTCTGTGAAGCGCTTTGGGACGTCCTCTCGACGTGAAAAGCGCTATATCAAATGCAAGGATTATTATTATTATTATTATTATTCTGTAAAGCTGATTCAGCCAACGCAATGACCTCAGCACCAGGGACAGCGACAAAATATTTTACTGTGATCAGCTCTGTAAAGTCACTCATATTAGATGTACTTGGTTTACACATTCAGAGAACTATTACGTGTTGCACTCAACCACACAAGACAATAGGAATGAAACCGTGACAGATGATACCTGCTCAAGTAATAGGTCAACCAATATTCATTGAAAATTACACAGCTTCTGGCGACCAGAATGATGGCATTGACACCCACAATGACACGGCAATGGTATCTCTCTTATATGTGGCAAAGTGTGAGCTCATAGATAAGCTTGTTTCCATCAACATAAAGAATGAGAAGTACGAGCTTATATATTTTAAACTAATTTGTACTTTAGGAGTAACTGGAGGCTTGAGGTAGTTCAGTTTGCTTATGTTGATCGTAAAGACTGGAGGACTCAGGGGTTACACACTGACTTTTCATCTCCAGGAGCTGGGTTTACATGTAATCTAGAATGGTCAGATGAGTCTTCTGCTTCTGAAGTCCAGCAATACCCCAACAGATATTCCAAGGTCCCCAAAGTCTTGGAATGTCAACCTATGCCTAATAATTTTGTAAATTATGTATTCCTGAAAGGAAAGAGTGTGCACATATGTATATAAAACTCTCAGTCTGCTCTGTCAATGGGTTTCCGCAAATGTCAGATACCCGGCTGACCAAAACAAAAACACAATCAGCGTGCATCTGTGCCCAATTGAAGCAAAACTCGACTTACTTTTCCGATTGTATTAGCTGATAGCACGTTTTCTCCACTGGGTGGCAATCCACTCCACAAGTTTAACATGTAGAAGCAGTCACACTTGACATGAGGTTACCGAAAGATCTACAGATCTCATAACCTGTCTGCCAGTTCTATCCTCCTGAAATGTTTTTTCCCTCCCATCAACATTTTTGGGAAAGGACAGGATCAATTTCACCCCGACAATTTCACAAAAGGTGAATAAATAAAACAAGTTATTTTTGCAGTGACTTATGCAATAGGTTTGGCTCCTAATCTGCATGACCATTGTTTCACAAACAACAAGATGAATGACCAAATTAATCTTTAGTGGTGAATCCGAACAAAGGAGGAACATTGGCCATGGCATTGGGAAAAACTCCTCTGCTCTTCCAAATAATGCCCTTGAAATCATCTCCTCTAAAAGGAATGGAAACCATGCTGTATCCTATTCCAAGCAATCGGTTACATTTAAAAAGGTTTCCGTTTCTGTTGGTTTTCTAATGTTACTAGAGAAGTAGTTGTTATCATATAAAGGATGACATTTGCCTTCAAGTAGCAAGTTGTGTGGATGTGTTTATTTATGAGTGCTAAAGCACTCTCTGTAGCCCCTCTACAGTGGGGTCTGCATTGCTCTAATAATAATAATCCTTGCATTTGATATCACGCCTTTCACCTCTTTGAGACGTCTCAAAGCTTAAAGTGAACTGACTGTATATATTGTGGACTCTACCACTGGAAGTAACAAATTGCTCTGTCAGTGTGAAACTCTCAGCTCTTCCTTTAGAGATCACAAGAGTCACCACCATCAAAAGGCAGCTTGACTGATCCACTGCAAGCGGAATAAAAGATTTACAACTGAATGAACTTTTTGATGCTGTGATCAAAACTCATTCATTCAAATTAAACCAGCAAGAACAAGAACAAAACAACATCATTATTTTTTTGTTAATATGTCTGAATTTCTGGACAAAGCATCAATTTATAGCTCGCTTACGGGCTACCCTATGATGATTTACTGACAATTTTAGAAATGCTTCTGATCCCATTTTCTTTATCTTAATGAATTGCAAAATCCACAAAACAAGTTGTTTTTGAAAATGTTCAATTTGAAATTTCGAATTGCTACACGAAGCCAGAAACGAGTTGATTGGAAATTTAAAAATCCTTTTTCAAGTCCAAGGGTTCTGAGGTTAACTAACTCCCTCTACTACAGCTCAGGTATATATTATCTAACTCAACAAAGATCAGGGATCTTTTCGAGAAGGTGCTACTTCTCACTAAACTCATTCATTCAAAACCAACAAAACTAATCAATTCACAACCATGCAAATAGTGACGATTCCACCAATAGTATGTCATTATAAGTCACTATCTCATGGAAATTCAGGTCAGTGTAAAGTTCAGACATCGTACTGTGCTAGATCCACAATTGGATTGAGCATTTTGTTTTTCGTTTGCTTTCCTACTAATTCTACTCTGGTATATTGTACCTCTGGAACCTAAGCTGTGTGCTCGGGGGGGGGGGTGGGAAGCCAAGTGAAATGTTTGGCTGTTTGGGAACTAAACTCTGGGTACCATGTTGCTTTGTCAGACTGCATCTGTACTCGAAAAATAAATAGTATTGCATTGCGACTTGCTGTTTGTCAATTAGAAGCTGAATCACAATGTAATTAAATGGGTCACCGATATGAAAGTTATTGGCTAAGAACAATTGGGATACCAGCCAGGTGGGTGTTAATGTGACTCACATCTGGCTAGTACAAACAGTTCTTCTAAGCTGAATGCTTGTTTCCTTCCACCTAACCTCGATGCCCTGGCTGCACTGAGGTGAGTGAGTAGCTTAGTTACTGCTGCATTTGGAGGTGAGGATTACAGGCTTAATGCATTTTTTGCTGGGCTCATCTTAAGTGCCACAGGCAACAAATTTTTAGTATCTAATGCCATTTCTGATGGTAGGCAAAATGTCCTCAAAGCGCTGCTGCCCACATCAAGTTCCTTTCAAGTATAATATGTAATGGCAGCAAATGTCCACAAACAACAACACAGTGAATGTCAAAATAACCTGCGCTTTGTTGGGATTTTAGATGTGAAAGAATACCAGGAGAACTCCCTGCTCTCTTTGTATCTTTAATGTCCACATGGACCACTGCACTATTGATGCTGTTTTTGCAGGCCTGTAAAAAATGCCAGGAGATGCTAAGAATGATGGTTGGGGGGGTGGGGTGGGGTGGTAGGAGAGACTAAGATACACATGCAAACATCAGCCTAAACTGTTTTCCCCTAGATTGGTTCCCAGAAGGTATGGAAGGCGCCAGAACTTAAATAGTTAAATTATCCACAACAATTAAAATGTAATGAAAAGTTGCCATCTCCAAATTTTAGCTGAAGTGACTGGCCCTAACAAAGACCCAATCAACAGCTACCCGCTGCTCTCCGTGTCCATACGCAGACATCCACACATGAAGGTGTGCAGCAAATCTGAAACTGCACTTGAGAAAAACATTAATTATCCCATCATTTACCAGCAGACGGAACGCTGCACTTCTCCACTGCACTGAGACAGGATGCTTGCTAGTCTTCAGCAAGTCCAGACAGCCCCTGACAGGAGATAGCACGAACAACATCTAACGTGTGCTTGGATTGTGAGCGTGCCCGGTCTCGTCTCACTGTGAGACCGTCTTTAAAATAAAGAAATGCAACAAGCTTCTTCAGTTGTTAAAACCAATTTTCAGCCTTTACAGCACTTTGTCTTCCCTTGCCAGAGAAAGTATAACCGAACGGGTTTGACCGTTTTGCAAACATTGCCTGATTTTCTTTCAAAAATTGCGGTTTGAAACATTATCATTATCGCAGTAGCAGATTGCTGCCTTTTTGGGCACTTAACGTGCGAGACGCATGCTGGAACCACGGCTGTCATTTAGTAGAGTATCAAAAGCAAGTTTAGGCATTACATTGAAAATAAACTGGAAAAAGTTTGTCTTGAATAAAAATATTAAGATCAGGACAAATATAACATTTGAATAATGCTCAAAACAGGCAATAGACAGAAAACAGAGAACAAAATAATATACTGAGAGTTTGACTGTTCTTGCATTGCTAATATATTGAATTAACAAGAAACATACAGTTGTGATGCGATAACTATAAGTATACAGTTAAAAACAGCGATTAAAAAAATATGTTAACATTGTTTCTATAAAACGATGAGACTCACGGTCCAGGTTGCAGATTTTGCTGTACTTGACTGTTGAAAGGTGACTTCGAATAAGTGGGGTCCTGGGTAGTCTGTGTTGGAAGGGATTGCTGGAGCAGGCGACATGGTGTCAAATGTGGAGCTGGGCTGTGAGTAGGGAGATGGCGTCGGGACATTCGATGTGTGTTCTGAGTTGTAAGGGCTGCCGGAGGATGCTCGGTTGGAGATACTCTGATCCATAGTACTGTTCAGCAAATTAAACTGGGACTAGAGAGGAAAGGGGTGGAGATAAGAAGAGAAACAACCAGGTAAGGACTTGTAACGTGCACTTATTTCAGACTATAAAAACACAGATCAGACAGCTGTCACTACAGCTCCTGGAATCTCTTTTTTTCTTTCTTTCCTCTTGTAACAACTTGTCAAATAATTAATCTTAAATATATCATTCAGACAAATATGAAGAGAAAAATGCCTTCTTTTCCTCTAGTTTTTAAATCAACCAACATTTCTAAATGCTCTGAACTTTTGGTACGATTTATTTTGCCTTTTGACTGACATTTACTGCTGCCCTGGGCTGACGTTCTGTACACATGGTTCTCTTTAGATTTAATTCAGAGGACAAGCAGGAGAGAAATGTTGCTGAAATGAATAAACCAAATTATATAAAACACATTTCACTTAAAAAAGTATATACACCTTTGGTGACAAGTCCTGAGAAAACAAAGCCCAGAACCTTTGTGCATTTTGATAATCAAATAGAAAAGTGGATGAAGAAAGCCCTTTGACCCATTTGATCTCATCTTTTCAATTCCTACTATCTCCCATTGCAGCATGGAGTGGTTTCTTAAATGAGTCCAGTGCCCTGGTAATCCCATTCTAGCAGCTGATTACAAATTCTTGATTGCTATCCTAAAATTGACCTTCACATCCTTAAACCTATAGACCCACCTGCTCTCTTTTTGTATTGGAAACTGAAGACAAATCCTTCTAACAACAAAATTTGAATGATTCCCTGTGTGTGTGGGCAGGGATGGTTCGAGGCATGTGAAGACCCAAACAAGGAAAAGGAAGAATTATAAATGCCAGGACAGAAGTAATAGTATTTTACAAAACTGTGCACTAAGTTTATTAATAGCTGTGGCTGTGTCAATGTAATCAGTCACCTTGCTCTGGAAATGGAGGCAAAATTAGTGAAGTGGAAAGATGCTGAAAACCCCCTGTTTAACCTGTGATTTGTTTCCATTTCACTTAGCTTTACTATGGTGGCTTGTCCAGTATTTTCAGCTGGTCCCGGTGCATCGCGTCTCACAAATACAACACAGAAAGGTTTGCAATTTACCCTGTGAATTGGTTAATACTACAGTATCTGAATATAAGGACATGCTTAGCAACATCCAGAATTGCACAAGTTAATTAACTCCACCTGGAACTGTCCTGTGAGTAGTAATTGGGGGTAATTTTGCACTGATCACTATAAATAAAAAGAATCAGTTTGCCCATCTGCAACAACAACAAAACTAGATTTATATAGCGCCTTTCACGTCCCAAGACGCTGGAATCCTGGAGTCTGGAGTTAAGGTCCACAGTTATCTAGGAATACTGAGAGTCAGTTAGTACTTGGAATCACAGAGAGATGGAGAACCAATAACATTGCAAACTCCAATTCTCCAAAGGTAACAACATATCCGAGCATCAGAATTCATTCAATCCTCATCTGCAGCTCATCTTTTTCTGTGACAAGCTCCAAACACCACGCACATCTCATTCATTCACTCTTTAAAACAACAGTGATCTTTCCTCTCTACACATTAGATAAAAAAAACTTTTACAACAAAGCCAACGAGGGCTTTTACCTTCTTCTTAATGTAATACATTGTTCAGTCTTGTTCGTCTGATTCCAAAAGTCAGGCAGCACTAATAATTATTGTATTCCAATTTCAGACAGATAACAAAAGTGAGCAGTTTCAAATGCTGCTGCAAACTTTTTTGTTCTTTTATTCCTTTTTTACCTGTGATTTGTCTTGTAGCCCACTTTCCCCCCTTTCTCCTTAGCGCTGCCTGCTTGGACTGACAGCATTGATAGGCTCATCCAGGTAACGAAGCACTGAATAATTACTGCATAACTTCTACCCAGACAAAAACACAGGTGCAGGTAGGTACATGCACAGAAAATAGTCGTGAGTATGCAAACATTGTCCCTTCAAGCACAATAATATCAGGAATTAACAAAGATTAAAGGTCACAAGCAACGATTACATGTCTCTCATCAAGATATATACAATTACTACACTTGGAACATAAATTATCCTTAACACGTAATCATGTTTTATTCTTTTATTCATCATAAGAAAATAGCTTTGAAGGGGCATTGGATCAAATATTTGCTGTATCTTAAATCAGTCCAGTGTCTTGGTAATCCCGTTCGATTACATAAGAGACACATGTCGCCAGGGGAGGGAGGAGCAGCAGCGAGAGTCAGATTTGTAACCTTAAAATCATTCATCTGTCCCTGGTACTCTGCCACTAGCTTTCTCTTGGTCAAGCTGTTAATGTAGAAGAAGTTAATAACTGAAACCTTTAGTCAGTTATAGTATGACAGAGACAACTCCTGGGCCCTCAATGCTCAAGTATGTTCCAGGCAAAGGTGGTCCTGGAAGGAAATGAATGAATCCAGGAGATATGGATAATTCAGTGGAGGGAAGTGTAGGAAGGAAGACTGGAATCCAGCTGGAACAAAGCGCAAATAGCAACATAAGACACTGATTTAATAGAAGAGCATCCTCATGGAAGAAGTGCTTTGCAAACTTGCAAACATAATACCTAAGATCATCAAAACGTATTGTGGGTTTATTTGCGTGTGATGCTATTGAAATGAGGACGACATGTGCCTCTTCTGTCTATTCTACTCATCGTAAAACTTTCATGAAGACCAATACTTATCTGAACTTTTGCTCATTTCTGTTTATTTGATTTTTTTTCCCCCAAAAGAATCAGTCCCGCTGAGATCAGACAAGTTTTTAAGATGGATGGTGACTGAAGGAAAGCAGTTTCTCCTTTCTGGACAGTCAAAAGGAGGCATTTGCTTCCTTCTGAATAAACACCTGGCAACTAAGTTGGAAAAGACCAGAGAGCGCTCTCTGCTGATAAGCAGTGAGATGAGCAGGGTTGCATGCAGCATTCTGTTCACTAATTTTTTTCTATTCATTCAGCTTTTCTTCAGCAGCAGAAGCTCCTGATATAGATTGTTGATGGTCACGGAGAGCAGACAGGAATCTAAATAAACATGAACATCACTGAACAATAAAATCTGATAGGTTTAAGGCTGGAGTTGTGAGTGAAGAATCGCCTATCTTTTTATCACACCTTCTCTAGTTACTTTTATTTCAAAGACTAAAATCCTCAATGGCTAATGTTTTTGTCTTAACACCTGCAAAAAGGCAGCTGTAGAAATTCACCTAAAACCATTGAAATTGAGCAAAGATCAAAACGTAAAGGACTCGGGTCTATGATTGATACATGTAGAGTGTTCTAAAAGTTGTTGAACGACTCCACAAATGTTCCCAGATACTGGGAAAAGGCACCCCATTTACCTACAAAAGAATCCTATAATCAGCTTCAAAATGCAAAACTTGGGAGTCAAATTAAGAGTTCACGTGCCATGTCATTTCATGAGATACAGAACTTGACAAACCTGAAAGGGAACTTTTATTTTGTTCTGTTGGCTTGCCTAATATCTGTGGAATTTTAAGGTATAAATCAGCGTATTTTAATATTGAAGGAGTTCAGAGAAAGCAAAGGAGAAGGTAAAAGAAGATGAAACCAAAGAACGATTTTGGAAACTTGTTGGAAGGCTTCTTGCAAGCAGAGGTGTAAATGTTTATAGATTTGATATATACGAGTCAAAGACAGATAAAGGAAAGGTATCAGAAGTTAGTGTAATTTCAATGAAAAGCAATGAAAAGTTAAACAACCTGTAACTCGTTAGAAATGGAAGACAATATTAGAGGATCCAAAGAGACTGTCAGTCAGCAGGGTAATTAACGCAGTCAAATCGTTGGTCAATGCTCCACAGTGAGACACTGTGAATCATCTGGTTAAAGGTGATATTGTACTGCTTCCATTCTCACACGGATTTATGCCAAAGACAACAAACGCTGACTTGTTACCAGAGCCCATTGTAGACTTTATTTACTTAATGTGAATATTCGAAAGTTACTGTTAATCTCATAAATATTGTGGCATTAGATTGAACCCAGTCTATGAGATATTTGGTGTAGTGGAAGAATTTTATCAACATATGTATAATCATCTTAAATAAAGTAATAATAATAATAATAATCCTTGCATTTGATATAGCGCTTTTCACGTCGGGAGGACGTCCCAAAGCGCTTCACAGAACATACTGCAAAGTGAATTGACTGTATATTTGTGGGCGAACGCGGCAGCCAATTGCGCACAGCAATGTCCCACAAACAGTCGTAGATTGAAAATGAGTTTAGTTGGACCATTGTGGATACATTCTGGATACTGCATGGGCCAAATGCACAACAAAGTCCTTCTCATCTGTCCAAAAAGTGTCGTTGATTCTATGATCTTCGGTAAATTTATTAACCAGTTGAGAATAAGATGCACTGGCTCACTGAGGTTAGTAACTTTACAAACCATGACAGAATCATGCCCAGGATTTCATGTGTAGGACATATCCCCACCCCCTCCCTCCTGCAGTCCCAGGATTTGAGACCTCCCTTCCATTCAAAATCAATTACATAAATACCTCAGCTACAGAGTCCTGTATTACAACACAGTTCAGCTGCATTGAGCACTGATGTCATTACCATAATCAAGGCTCTTAAACTAACTAAACTCCCTGCTTCCAAAAGGCACGGATTGCAGGTCAATAACGAAGCCACAATCATCTCAATAGAATCTCTTGGAGCTGGTTGACTGCCATGACCAAGTGTGGCTAAAACAATGTTTGACCTTAGCTAAAAAAGGCTGAGAAGTGATTACATTATAGGCTGGTCTCTAAGTAACTCCCACACATGCCTCATTGCAAAATGCTTGGCTCTCAGAGGAGACCATTTTCTAATGAGGGTGGAGTGGGTTTTGCAATGATTCAAATTAAGTGGTTTAAATGGAGCTTAGCTATTATCTGCAGGCTATGATTGTATGGCACTGTCTTGGTCTGCAGTTCATGGTTCCAGTGAAAGGCAGATGGGGTCTCATTAAACACCGGCCTTACTTCTCAAACCACAGCACCATTGATT